AAATAAAAAAGTGACATTCTTTATTTATCAAACCGTTTTACACATTTGAAATGCCTTCATGTTCATGCTTATGTTCTGCAGCAAGATCTTTTCTTCTCTTCTGTCCCTCTCCCCACTAAGTTAATTCCCCTTCTTTGTACAAAACAGGGTTCAATTCCACATTCTTATAGATGGGATCTTATTATCCAATATAGTTCATGTCCACAGTAATGACTTCAGATGAGCAGTTTACTGTCTGCCTGAGGGTTCAAGTTGATGCCCTCGGTCTTAATTCTTGAATGTCAAGGTCAAAAAGTTTTAACAAAAGGATCGAGGTGAACGTGAAGTGGAATTGTTTCTAACAACACCAACAGCAGGAGAAAGCCGTTTGCTCTTTAAAAGCGGTACATATACATAGTAAGAAACAGAAAGGAATCAAAATACATCACTTTGTACATCAGAAATAGCTGATGTACCAGTACAACAACTGCCCTAAGGAACAGTCTTGAGGTTAGGGATCGTACGCTGTTCTTCGGGCAGCTCTGCATCGGCATTATCCAAACACTCATTTCCCCAGGATCTAGAGGCTCTTAGAAGGTTTTTAAGTAGAACTTTGGAAATATGCTTTTCTTCAAATAAAAGCACTATCATTAATGCTTGACAATGGAATTGGAAAAGTCTTTCCAGGCTATGTGTAATATTTTTAAAAAATCCTTTTTGTTTTCCTTCATAAATCAACAGCGCTCCATCTTCAAACCAACCACGAGCAGTCACCATCCTACCTCGTAGGTTCATATGTTCTCTTCATCCAGCATTTTGTTGATACCATCACAGAGTTTTTGTAAGTGGGGTTTAAAATTTCCGAAGGGATTATACAAGGCCGCCAAAAATTCACAATCTGAAAAATGGTCAAAGACATTATTAACCCGTCCGTGCGACTTTGCGGTGAGGTGACGCTGGATAATCTGGTGGAGCATCTCTCTGCATTCATTCAGCAGCCTGGAGAGCACGTTCCGGTCAAAGGTATAATCCACCTGGTGAAAGCTGACCACGGTCATGGCCAGCTGATGAACTTTCTTCTTGAATTTCTCCATGAGGGCCAGCTCATCTTGATTAAACTGATTGTTCCTGTACAGGATGGCCAGCTTGATGACTGTCTTGATGAGGTGCTTGATGATCCGCTCGGCCTCCTTCTTGTTCTGGGTGTACTCCCGGGTTACTCGGTAGAGCTCGTCTAACACCTCGCTGCTGGTGTCATCGATTAAGGTGGTGGCAATGGATTTGGACACCATCTTACCCAAGATCTTCTTTTGTGCCTGCACAGCCAGGTTTTTTGAATTAAACACATCTGTGGCCACTGGAAACAAAGGAGAAGAGAGAAGAATAAAAGACCAGTACATGTCATTTCGAGAAGCAAATTATAAAAACATTTAAGGGACTGTTTCCCCATTTTCTTTACTCTTTGTGGCTTACCACCCATCCACTGACATTAGTGTCTCCAGAAAAGATGTTAAAACATTTTCTACATTTATGTACATGCCATCTGAATTTGTGAAATTAAAGGTGTCAATGCATGTAATACTGCCAACTCAAGGATTTGATAGCTTTGATTATAAAGTAAAAGAAACCTGGTGAAGTAGTTGGTTATGTGTTGCAGTGCTAACTGCAAAGTCAGCAGTTTGAAACCAACAGCCACTCCTTGGAGAAAGACAAGGATTTCTACTCTCATAAAAATGTAAAGTTTCATCCCCTTACGGAAGGGTCTCGGGGAGCAGACGAGCCAGTCAGGGTGCAGTGTAGCAATGATAAAACATATAACTTTCCTCTAGTACCTAAATGCTTCCTCTCCCCCCACTATCATGATCCCAAGTCTACCTTACAAACATGGCTAGACCAGAGGATGTACACTGGGACAGATAGGAACTGGAAACATAGGGAATCCAGGACGGATGATCCCTTCAGGACCAGTGGTGAGAGTGGCGATACCGGGAGGGTGGGATGGAAAGGGGGAACCAATTACAAGGATCTACATATAACCTCCTCCCTGGGGGATGGACAACAGAAAAGCGGGTGAAGGGAGATGTCAGACAGTGTAAGATATGACAAAATAATAATTTATAAATTATCAAGGGTTCATGAGGGAGGGGGGAGCGGGGAGGGAGAGAGAAAAATGAGGAGCTGGTACCAAGAGCTTAAGTGGAAATCAAATGTTTTGAGAATGATGAGGGCAACAAATATACAAATGTGCTTTACACAATTAATATATATATGGATTGTTATAAGAGTTGTATGAGCCCCCAATAAAATTATTTTAAACATTTTTTAAGTCTCAGAAACCCACCAGGGCAGTCAACTAAGCTCTGTCCTGTAGAGTGGGTCACTATGTGTTGGAATCGACGTGGCAGCAGTGAACTGGACTGCAGTGAGCTTTGAGTTAGGTATTATAAAGAAAACAGCACCTTGGCAGCACTGTTGGAAAAGTGTTGGACTGCTAACCGGCAGGTCAGCTGTCCAAACCCACCAGCTCCAAGGGAGAAAGTTGAGGCTGCCTGCTCTGGTAAAGATTTACAAAGCCTTAGAACTCTATACAGGGTCAGGTAAAGATTTACAAAGCCTTAGAACTCTGTACAGGGTCACGGTGAATAAGAAACTACTCTAGGGCAGAGGCTGCTGACTATAACGAAAAAGTCTTGGTGGCCCTGTGAATTAAATGTTGCCCTTGTAACCACTAGAGGTCAGTGATTCGAACCCACTGGCTGCTCTGCAGGAGGTAGATGAGGTTCTCTGATCCTACACAAATTTCGCCTAGAAACCCTAAGGGGCAGTTCTACTCTGCCCTATAGGGCCACTATGCGTCAGAGGCCGTTGAGTTTTTATTTTTCAATTATGGCACTGTGCTTGGCTGCTATTTGAAGGGTGGGCAATTCAAATGTACCAGCTTTTCGCAAGGGGAACAGGAGAGGGATGTGACAGTAGGCCTCCACAGAGATTTACAACCTTAGAAACCCTGTGGGGGCAGTGCTATCCTGTCCAATAGGGTACTGAGACTCAGAATCAGCTCAAAATGATGGCTGAATGCTTGACTGCTAACTGAAAGGTGGCTACCTGCTCTGCAGGTGAAACCCCAGGGGATATGTTTCCATCAAGGTAAATCCCATGCCAACTCACAGGACAATGTGTGACTGCCACCATAGGGTTTCCCAGGCTGCAAATCTTCATGGAAGCACATCGCATGGGTTAGCAGCACTTTAGCCACTGTGCCACCAGAACCCCTCCAAAAAGGTTGCAGCTTAGGAAGTCTTATATACTCTATATACTCTGGGATATACATCACCATCAGTTGACTCACTTGACACATAGCAAGCACCACAAAGGGGCAAGAAGGCGCCTTTCTAAAAAAATCACTTTTTGAATTTTTACTGGTAGACTCTTACAAGAAATGTATCAAAAATATAAAGTCAACTCCACCATTGTCCTCTGAGTAACAGCAATCAAAATAAACACCCAGTGACATGCAAGAGGGGTAAATGGGAAGGGAGCCACCACAGCAAATGAAACAGCAAATTCATGCAAGAACATCTGCAGGCATGCTGCTTGGTCATCCACTTGCTACATGCCAAATTTCCCGAGATATGGGCCAGCACCATCAGTTTGGCTGTTCGAAACACTCTGCATTTCATCTTCCAGAAGCCGAGGACTGTACTGGAAAGGAATATTCTTTTTGAAGAGGCCATTTTGATGAAAGGCCACTATTCTTTTAAACTTTTTTTATGTTTTGACGAAATACCCAGAACTTCATGAACTGATTAAATGTGCTACATGCACAAAGTACTTTGAACAAAGCTGATGTCTGGAGTTTCATTTTGGATTCATAAGTCAACCAGACAGATGATGTATAAGACATCCATAGTTATGTGTATAAGCTATGATTGAGACACTCACTCTCTGTGGTGCAAAGAGGTACCCTGGTCCTATCCCCCCAAAGGTTGCTATTGCTTAGAATTCACTTGAGAGCTTGAGAATGAGGGGCGTCAGAGCAAAGACCCAAAGTCCGTCTGTTGAGAATGGGACATCCCCACACAGAGGGGTCACGGGAAAGGGATGAGTCAACCGGGGCACAGAATAGCACTGATGAAACATGCAATACTCCTCTGGTTCCTTGAGGATTCCTCACCCCCACTATCATGACCCCAGTGCTGCCTTTCACTGCGGGCTAGACCAGAGCACATGGATAGGTACAGATAAGAGATAAGTGCTAAGGACACATGGAACCCGGGAACAGAAATGGGAATAGCGATACCAGAAGGGTAGGGGGAAAGTGAAGAGAGGAGGGGAGAAAGGGGGAACCGATCGCAATGGATCGACACACACACACACACACACCCGATCAACACACACACACCCGATCGACACACACACACCACCACCACCACCACCCTGCAGGCAGATGAACAACAGAAACTGTGGGGCAGGAGACATCAGTAAGTGTAAGGTATGAAAGTAATAATTTATAATCTATCAAGGGGTCACGAGAGTGGGGGAGGGAAAATGAGGAGCTGATACCAAGGGCTCAATGGAAAGTAAATGTCTAGAAAATAATAGCACTGTAGGTAAAAATGTGCTTGTTACAATTGATGCATGGATTGTTGTAAGAGCTGTCAGAGCCCCCAATAAAATGACCTTTAAAAAAGAAAAAAAAGAATTGACTTGAGAGCAAGAGGTTTGGTTTGATTGTTTTTGTTTATTTTTTGGTATATGTGATGCTCACTGCCTGCTTCCATGAAAATTCTCAATGAATGTTTACCTTCTAAACCAAGTTTAATTTTTTTTTTCTATCGCAATTTTCCTGTAGTTTATGAATGTAGCAATCCTAAAGCTACTCTCCTACTGTGCTTCCTCTCTCTTCTACCAGGCCCACAGAGCTGCAGTGCCCTGGGGTCTGCCCTCCAGGTCTGCTCACAGGGACAGTGACCTTTTCGAAGATAAGCCTCGGTGTTGAAAGTGGTCACTGGGTCATTCGCTGTCATTGTGTGCCATCGAGTATATAGTAGAGGCAGCTGCAGCGTGGTTCTCAATGACTAGAATGTTAGTCATAACAGTGCCACCCCCAACGCCCCCCAGCCCTGAAAGAATGTCTTGATTGAACTAGAAATGGTGCTCTCACAGATGGTAATATTTAAGCTTCTGAAACATGAACTGAAACTGCAGAAGAAGAATTTGAAATCTATTTTGAGAAAGAAAAGGAAAGTGAAAAGTTGGGAGAAGCAGCCAACTCTGTGTAAAAAGTCTCCAAGCTTTTTAATATGTTCACCATTAGTCTGTGTCTGTCCCTACTCTTCAATGGTTTACAAAGAATGGAAGGCTGGTTATGACGTTGAAAAATGCAGACTAAGAGAAACGGCACTCATACCGTCAATGTTAGCAGGTCCAGACCAGGGTCAATCTTTTATCGCGTAACTTTTGAGAATAAACTTGATTTAGATAGAGAGGGCCATCCTAGTAATTTTCATGTGTACACACATACACCTTAACATTTTTGGAATTTGTTTGACATAAAGTTGATCAGTTATTCTGTCTTTAATCTCTTAAAACATGGCATGTTCTCTAAACACCCCAGGTGGAGTGTGCACTGCAGTGTCTGCCACGAAACCGTGCCCGCTGTGAAGTCACCGAGACCAGAGGGCGAGCGGCTCCCAAGATGCCTCTCGGTTCCTTTTTCCAAGGGGGACCCTGAAGTTTACACCTCTTCTTCGCTACCTTTCTTATGAACACAAAGCGGCCCATTTAATTTCAACTGTAAAGAGGAAACAAACCCAAAACTCAATGGTGCAGCACTTCAACTTCCTGCAAGAGAGAGCTTAAAAGGCAAGTCTGTGGCCAACCAGGTCCCCCGTTTACTGGTAACCAATTCTGAACTGGGACAGAGAAGCTGGTCTCGGAAATGCTCACATTTGCCCCAGGGGAACTTTAAACTCAGCTTTAGAAATGCAGCAGCAGCGACTTCACACTTTCCTTTTACCCTGTGAATTTATGCCAGTGCATCCTTCTGTCAATGAGGAGAAAGCCCTTTCTCCCGGTCACTGGGAAGACAGACATGCAGTGGATTTCTTTTCCAGCATGTGTGAAGGCTTTTTCCCAGCCAACTGGGGCTTGTGGCTGACACTTGCTGGCCAGGGCTGTGTGGTCTGTGGTCATGAAGTCTGAGTTTGTTTTCCTCCTTGTAAATTAACCGCCTTTAGTTTTTCCTGCTCAGGCTCATTTCTCAGTTCCACATCCTTAAAGCGAGTCCCCCCTTTTCACTGTGCCCACTCTTGCGTGGTCCCACCCATTCCCATAACCACAGATGCCACCCAGCAC